GTATTTCTAAAACACGATCAATAATTATTATAACATTTAATATTAATTATCAATACTAATGATATTCTTTATTTATGCCATATTTAATATTCCATATTAAAAGCCAAAAGTTATATGGTAATAATACCATAGTAATAATATCGTGATTAATGCTTTCATTTACTTTTATGAGCAAAATCTTACCATAATAATATTCTCCAATAATACCATAACATAGAAAGAATCACATTAACTCTTTAATTTCTCTACTATATGCAACAACCACATATGGAAGAAAATTCATAGATAAAGAATCATTTATACTTTATTTTTTATTTTATTATCAGACAGAATTAATATTTTGAAACAAAATCAGTAACTAAGGTTACTTTAACGATAATTTTATAACATATATTTGTCCACTTCGAGATTAAGCAAACTCGTTAAACGAGAAGATACATCTTGAACACGAATTTATTTACTTTTCAAGATTTCCCTAAAATTTCTGAATCGTCATGGATTTGTTTTCACAAAGCTAGAAGATAGAATTTGTCTTAAGATCATTAGATATATATCTGAGAAGAGAAAATAAAAATTAAATATTTTATTAATAATAAAAAAGAACGATATAGAAATAAATACACGTTTTGACATAATAACTGATTGGAACGAGTTGAGGCCTACAGCAACGCAGTTTTTTAAGACATATTTTCGGTCACTCCTATGGTGTTTGAGATAGTTGGTCATCTGTCTCCTATGATACAACAATTAAATGATCAACTACAATTGCACTTCTACAGAGATCACGAACTATTCCATTGCCTTCATCTATAACAAAAAAAAAAGAATTCTTTTGAATTATTTTTTTTAGTTGTAATAAATGTGTTTAACCTAACAGGTTTACACGGTATGTATAGAGGTTTTACATAGTAAACCATTGTATATTTTTGACCTAATGAAGCATTTAAGAAAAGGGGATCAATAACCATAACAAGCAATTTCCAAATTTATTGTCTGAATTAAAGGAATCTTTTAGTATTTATCATTTCAATTCTAAAACTGAATTTTGAAAATATATACTCTATTTAAGGAAAAATATTTTAAATTTGGGTTAAATATCCGCAAGCCCAAAGAGGTCACGACCGGTTAAGATATTTACGTCACCTATATCGTGCACGTCTATACATTTACAAACCATCCATTGGTTCCACGTTTTTCCTCAATAACGTTTAGATTAATTTCTTATTTAATTATTGATTTTTTCTTACACAATTAACCATATGGGTGGATATATACCTTTTTGAGTTCCAATTGATTGGTAGTTGTGTGCATATTTAAAAATTAAAGCATGGATTCTTTTGTGTTTATGGTGATGGTTGTTTCACTTCGTATTGTAATGATGTGTGCTTTTAGGGTGCAAGTCGAAAGTAAAATTATTACATTCTAAAATTTACATAAAATTAGCAAACGGTAAAATTGTTTTTTCCCTTTAAAATTGATTAACTTCTGGTTTAACCCTTTTGAAGAGTTGTATAGTTAAAAGCCAATATAATATTAAAATTACAGTTTTTCTCCTTTGAAATTTATAATTCAAGTTTGAACTATAAAATTGCAATACAAAACAGATGTATTGTGATATTAAATTTTATTATATCGCCAATGTGAAGCTCACACATGATAAATTTTAGGGTAAACTACAATGTTGGTTCTTTTTGTTTTAGGTCTGTCTTATATTATCCACTGATTTTCAAAATGTTATATTTTGGTAACTTTTATTTTTGATATGTCTTATTTTGATTGTTGGACTATTAACTCTCATTATTTTGATGATATAGTACGTTAGTAAAAATGATTAAATTTTAACTTGACCCTTAAACTTTAGATAAAATACAAATTTGACTCTTAAAATTTAAATAAAATATCATTTGACCACTAAATCTAGTCAAAATCCTTGGTACCAACCACCGCTCATCACCATCCCCGGTCACATTCAATTGTTGTCATCGGTCACTTTTAATAATGTCATTGAACTAACTAAAGTTAGAGGTTCAGTGACCAAAATATAATAAACATACATCATTTTTTTCAAATTTAATGGCTAAAATAAGACATATCTAAAATAAAAGAGAACATCAATCTAATTTACCTTAAATTTTAGGGTAAAGTATAAAAATAGTCCCTAAATTTTTAGGACGCTTTCAATTTGGTCACTCAACTTTTGAAACTTGCAATACAATCATCAAACTTTTAGTTTATTTTCATTTTGGTCCCTGTCGTTACCTTTCGTTAGTGTTTGATGACGTGGCACTTAACTGCCTTTAAAGCCCCTTCTTCTTCTTCTTTTTCTTCTACATTTCACAGACTGTATAAACAATCCACTTGTGATCGGTGTTCCTCAACGTGTCACGATCTTCTTCAATCGTTACACATTTCACCGGGCCGGTGTGACCGGTTAAGACTGAGAGGCACATGTGGATGATGTCTTTTTCCTGCCTCCAGACGTATATGCTCTTATCAGCGAAGCCGATGAACACCAAGTTCTCAATGGTAGCCATGCAGAGAACAGCCATTTTATGGCCCTTTCAAACCCCTCAATGCAGTAGGTTTTGGTTCTCATGTTCGCAAAAGTTGACGAGTCTGTCGAACGACCCGCAATACAACGTCGTCGATTCTGCTCATGGCCAACGTCATCACATCATTCTCTTGCTTCAACAACATTCGAACCATGGAATGCTTTGTTACTTTCTCTAGAAACTCTCTCTTCCATGCCTTAACTGTCCCGTCGACGGAACCGATGAACACGAAGCCATTGAAACTGACGAAGACGGAGTTTATAACGTCGTCATGAGCGTCGTCGACGAATTCCAAGCACTTGAAATTGGATATCCACCATAATTTCATGGTTTTATCCCATGAACCTCAATATAATAACCAGAATTCTTCATTAAAGCTCAAGCACGAAACAACATAGAAATGCTTGATCTGAAGAACACTCTTTTTTTTCTGAACTTCAATGTAGTTCTTCAGTTTAACGAAGCTTTTGAGGAAATCGATGAAATTCGAGAAACTATCGTGTCTTTTGATCACACTAGGGTTCGATGAAAAAACTTTCCAGTAATGGATTTTACCATCTTGATGACGAGTGAAGACCAGATCATCCAACACGATAATGGCTTTGACCTACCAACTTTTAGCTTGAAACCCAAAAACTCCTTCAAGTTCTTCCAGACGCGGATGGTCTTGCTATTAGTGTCGGTGTATACACATCACTGATGGCAACCAATGAATAAATATGGCCTTCTTCTTTGACGATAGAGTCAATGAGTCCGATTTGGCCGAAATTATTCTCGAGCGCAGACGAATAAGGGAAATGCCATGGAGAAGTCTGGATCCACGATGACAACATCATGCGAGGAGGAAAACCCTCGCCACTGGTCGAGGTGCTGTTGGAATACCTCATACTAGCCATTGAAGCATTACTTTCACAATGTGGGGAGTCGTTGTCTTCCTCACCAACGTCGTCGTTTATTGGAAACGAATCATGGTGCTGATGGAATACCTCATATTACTTGGTTGGCCACAGTTTGTGAAATGTTGAAGAATAAGAAGATGGGGCTTTAACAGTAGTTAAGTGCCACATCATCAAACACTAACAGAAGGTAACGACAGGGACCACAATGAAAATGAACTAAAAGTTCAATGATTGTATTGTAATTTTCAAAAGTTAAGTGACCAAAATCAAGTGACTGAAAAGTTCAGGGAATATTTATATACTTTACCCTAAATTTCACTAGGAGTTGGTGTAAAGAGAATGATTTCGATTTAAAAAAGGGAGTGAAAATGGTTTTAAAATGAAGGTAGTGACTGATTTGCTCTGTTTTGAAAATCGGATTGGATCTGCAGGTTCAATCGGTTCAATCGGAAACCGTTGATTAGTTTCGTTTAATCTAAACTGGTTGAACCGCTATTCATGAACCGATCAGAACCGTTGAACCGTTCGAACCGGACCGGCTGAAAACCGGAAAAAACCGGGATTTTTGATTTTTAAAAAAAAATTAAACCAAACAACGTCGTTTGTTAAATGAGCCAAGTCGAACTCGAGTATTGCTGAGCTCGACTCGAACTTGAAAACTTTAAAAGTAAGCTCAACTCAACTCAAACTCACAAGCTAAAAATTATCAAGTTCAACTCAAACTCGAAATATAATATTGAAACTTGAACTCAAAAAGGCTTGAACTCAAAAAAAATTTAGAAGCTCGATTGAAGCCTAAAATTCGAGCTTGATTGAAGTGAAAGAATAGTTCACTCAATGCTCACCAAAAGGCTCTATGATTTTGAATGCCAAATTACTTCTATTATTTATAGAAGTTAATTGTGATGCGTTTTTATGTTTCTTAGCAATGTGAGATTGTTTTGTTCTCATATTTTTACTCTTTAGACTTTTGGGATGTTATTTTATGTTTCTTAGCCATGTAAGATTATTTTTTTTTAAAAAATTAAACCAAACAATATCATTTTGTTATGATTTTTTTAACCCAAAATTTATTTTTTAAGTATAGTTATATAATTATATTTATTATTTAATATGTTTTACCTTAAATATTATGTTGTAGTTAATTTGAATCATTTTGTTTCACTTGATTTTATGGTTTTTAACTTATATATGTTATGACTTGCTTTGAATATGACTTGTGATATAAAAATTATTTTTTATTAAATATTTTTGATATTTTTATTTAATTTTTTAAATAATTATGACGTCGTCCGATTCTTCTGACCGATTAAATTAATTCAAACGTTTGAATTAGTAAACCGATAATATGACCGGTTCGATAACTGGTCCGATTCTGAAATCCATGATTTGTGATACATAGTCTAATCGAATAAAGACAAAGAGCTGGGAAAGTTGACCAGAACTAAGCTCTTACAGCTATTAAATTTGATCTAGAAAAACACCTAAAATACACATGTAGTCAGTCATGCTCTGCATTCCATCCTGAAAAATTCAGCGGCAAAAGAGATCGAGCTGAAGTCACAACAAAGATGGTGGGATGGAGAAACGCCGTTCAAGAAGCCGCCGCTTCCAAACCGCTATTCGTGACCATATACACCACCGTCATCGTGGGGATAGTGGCGTCTTCATTTTATGTGTTCTCCGCCATTTACTCTCCTTCCGCTTCCACTACTCACTCCATCTCAACTTCTTGGCTTTCCTCCCCTCCTCTCTCCCAAGGTACGCTGCCTTTGCTTTTCTTTTAAAAAAGCTAAATATTATTAGAACTGCCCAGTAAATGAAGCATTGCTAGTGGGTTTTTGGCAGTTTGACTTTTTGTTTGTATGTTAGACCTTTTTTCCCCTTAGCTTTTTGTGGAATTATTTTGCAAAGTTTTGCTCAAATGTAGTACGGTATCGATCAGATCAGTTCAGATTTTATATATCAGTGTCTGAATTAATTGATTATATATTTTAAGATTTGTTATCTAAAACATCTTCTTCGATTTTAATTGGTTCGGATTTCCAAAATTGATTAGGAACAAAATAAATTGATTTTTTTGGACAAATCAGTCTGCTTTATTCTATTAATTCGATTTAACCAATTGTTTGCTCACTCCTATCCAAATGCCTATTTGGTTGTATTTTGAAGACTATTTGCTCACTCATATCATGATGTCCTTTTACCATTAGTCCATTACATGATTCTATTAACTAATGTCCTCAACTCAATATGGAAGATGGTGTATCTCATTCAAGCAACAGCATTTCTCAACCAACAGGAAAAGCATCACAACCTGGTAGCAACCAGTTGAGACCTATTTTGGTGGCTCCACCTAGTACTTCGAAAATGCCATCTTTGGAGTCCTTTAGACTAACAAAAGGATTGGTTGGAGAAAGGGCGGAAGATAATGTCATTATAGTCACCTTTGGTAACTTTGCTTTTATGGATTTTATCCTCACTTTTATGGATTTTATCCTCACTTGGGTTAAACACTTGGCGTATCTTGGTGTATCTAATTTTCTTGTTGGTAAGCTGTTAAATCTTCTATCGGTTACATAAGAAACTGTGCTTAAAAGAGGACAATGAATTGGAATCGTTGTGATTTAGGTGCTATGGACACCAAACTGTTGGAGGCTTTGTATTGGAAAGGTGTTCCAGTCTTTGATATGGGCAGCCATATGAGCACAATAGATGTTGGTTGGGGCTCTCCTACATTTCATAAAATGGGAAGAGAGAAAGTATTACTTATAAATTCTATACTTCCTTTTGGTTATGAGCTATTGATGTGTGATACGGACATGGTGTGGCTCAAGGTACTTCTTTTCCTTCCCAGATCAATCTTTTATACTAAGCTATAGTTTAATGGTTTCACTTCTCTTTCCCCTGAATTTGATAAGTTTTATTTTATTAGAATGCTATTATACCGCGGAACACTATTAATTCATTTGATGCTATAGGAACTAAAATTCTAGTGATAAGGACTAGCTTTTCCCTGGGGTTGCGCACTTTAAACCTTAAAATTTTATGTATTCGCTTGTGTGTATTTTTCTTGGCTTGTGTGATGCTTCTTTCTCTGATGCCGTCATTTTATTTTATTTTTACCTCGTGATTCTTTATGATCACTTCTGAAGATATACATTAAAATCATACTTCATATGCCATGTTCCTTTCCCAGAATCCACTTCCATATCTTGCCCGGTACCCTGATGCTGACATATTAACTTCAAGTGACCAAGTTGTGCCAACAGTTGTTGATGACAGATTGGCTGATTGGAAACAAGGTAAAAGATGTTTCTGAAAGTATTTCCTTTCATCTACTGATCTTTTTTTTCCTTGAACAGTTGTTGATGATCATTATCTTCTGTTAACTCGATTTGCCATTCTTGTTACTCCTGTCAATTGATTCTTTTTTTTTCCTTGAACAGTTGGTGCTGCCTACAATATAGGAATTTTTCACTGGCGGCCAACTGAGCCAGCGATAAAACTGGCAAAAGAATGGAAAGATATGCTATTATCTGATGATAAGATATGGGATCAGAATGGATTTAATGAACTTGTACGCAAGCAGACAGGGCCAGCCATTGATGATGAGAGTGGACTTTTTTATGCTTTTGATGGAAATCTCAAGCTGGGAATTCTACCAGAAAGTATATTTTGTAGTGGGCACACTTATTTTGTTCAGGTAGGATCCATATGCTAGTTCATGGTGATATTGAAATTCTAGTTTCTTCACGTATATACATTTACATGTTTATACCCTTGTGAATTTAAATATGTTGCTTGTACCAGTTAGTAAATAGCAAGCATATGTTGTACAACAAGCTTGTTCTAAGCACTAATGCTTTTGATAGGCCATGTATGAACAACTTAGGCTGGAGCCATATGCATTGCACACCACATTCCAATATGGTGGTACTGAAGGGAAGCGTCATCGACTACGGGAGGCCATGGTTTTCTACGATCCACCAGAGTACTATGATGCACCGGGTAATTTTGTGCCTTTTATATTATGATTACAAATGTTCTGTGCCCACTATGAAGTATCAAGTATTTCTATAGATTTGATTTTAGGATCCATATTATCTCACCAAAATGCAGTTTAAAACAGTTTCTGCATCCTGCTAAGTTTCAGATATATTTATTGATCTGACATGAACATGCTAAAGTTTCTGTAAGTTTTTTTCATTCATGTAGAGGTGGGGGGTCATATCTTAAATGGATTATGGCATCAAACATATGCAATGTGGGTATTTTGGGATGACTTAAATGGTACATGTAAATGCAGTTTGGTTACAGTATTGTCTTAATAATTTATTTACTTTCCCCACGGATATATCATTGGTTAAACTTTGGGGAACAAAGGAGTTGGGTATGATGAATGTCTTCTATTCATGAAGTGTATAATTTCACTTTTGTGCCCGTAATCAAACATCGGCCGGTTCTCTTCTATTGAATATCTCCCTCCTATCATGTTTTATGCCTGTTTTGGTTAGGGTGGGATGCAAGAAAGTCTGAAATGTACGATCCAACAAGTTTATCAAGGAAACTTCGAGTTTTGTAGTGAAATGAAACACATTTTTTAAATCTTTACCATTAATGAAGGGGCTATCAATTAATCTATCAAGGAAGATCCAAGTCACCTAAATTGTTTTTTTTTTTTTTGAAATGAACTTGGAACATATTAACCATAAACTGCATCATCCAGTACATGAGTGATAATACAATCCAAACATTCATGATTAAAATATAAAGTCAATTGAATTTTAGATATTAATACTTGCTTTGATGATCATTCACAGCATGTTTTATGCTGCCAGATAACTTATTGAAGGAATTGTGCAGGAGGATTCTTGTCATTTAAACCTTCTATTCCAAAGAGCCTGTTACTGGATGGGGAGCATAATCTAGAATCACACTTCTCTCTTATTAATTACCAAGTATGTGTGTATTAATTTTGAAGCACAAGCCTTTGCTGTTTTAATCTCCGTATTTATTCTCACAAATTTTCTCTTTGATGATTTTGTTCAGATGAAACAAATAAGGTCGGCATTTGCTATTGCTTCAGTGTTGAACCGTACACTGGTGTGTATTCTATGATTAGTTAACATGATTATCTAGCTCAGTTGGTAGAGCGCAAGTCTCTTAATCTTGTGGTCGTGGGATCGAGTCCCACTGAGGGCAATTCATAACGGAGGTCTTCTACGGAAGCTGTTCTCAACCTGGCGTTGGGGGCAATTCAGCTAATGAGTGTTGTGAATATATAATTTCTTTGTGATGAAAATTGAACTAAGAGATTAAAATAGTTCTTATAAGAATCTTGGCTTACACCCTTAACAGTAGGATCTTTAACATGAATTTCTTGTGTCTAGTGGTAGCAAAGTATTAGGTAAAAACATCTATAAATTGAAAATTCATCTTACTAGAGAGCCAGTGAAATCTGTTGCGCAACTGTGCAAGTGGTATCACACTGTGTGGGGAAAATTAACTAATTTATTCCAAATGTAGATTTGTGGTATTGTATTTGTATAAGTTTATTGAATCATCCTTTTTCCTTCTCACTATGTCAATTTCAGGTTATGCCTCCATTATGGTGCAGGTTTGATAGACTCTGGTTTTCACATCCTGGAGTTTTGCAGGGGTCAATGACCAGGCAACCTTTTCTCTGCCCTTTGGACCATGTTTTTGAGGTAAATTTTAGTTGATTGTAGGAAGCATTTGATCTTTTTCTTGTTTCTTCCTGTAAGAATCGTTCGCACGTTGTGGCACTTATTTTTTCCTCCCTGTTATCCACGCAACCATGAAACCAAATAATTTATATGTTAGGGTATTTAGCCTCTTTTATAAGTACAACATAATGCATGGATTTTGTGGATGCTTTTTTATCTTTAGCATAAGATGTTCTAAATCTGGGGAATATAACTTTCACAATTGTAGGTAAATGTCATGTTGAAAGACCTTCCAGAAGAGGAGTTTGGTTCTGCAATTAACATCAGAGAGTATTCTTTTCTCAACAATCCATTATTACCCCAACAAGTAAATGAATATTAGTGGTATAGATTAAATTGTGTCTTTTCTATTATCTCCACGAAACTTTAACTTTCAATGTTGTTTCAGGTAAAAGACTCATGGCTTGATGTTCAACTTTGCCAAGAAGGAACTGAAGATTGCCATGCATCAAGTAACTCAAGTCGATCAGATGTTTTAAGATTCCCGAAAAACAGCACCGAAGAAATGGTATGGCTGATTCTTCACTTGCTTATGTTGAACATTTACCAATGGCTTAATACTCCAGCAGTTTAATAGTCTTAGTTATAATGCAAAATACAGTTCGCAACAGTGTTCTCTTCATTCAAGGATGTCAAAGTCATCCAATTCTCGTCAATGCAAAACGCTTTTCTCAGTTTCGCCAACAAGGCAAGTCTTTTCATCAAGCTTCAAGATCCCATGTTCCATTAGTGATTTACTTTGTTGTTTTTACACATTTGAGTTTGAGATGTACTGATATGCTGAATGTTCAGGCAAGAGAGGAGAAATTCAGGAACCGGATGAAGCGGTACGTCGGTATATGGTGCTGCGTTGAGAACCACACTCCCGGACACATATATTACGACATGTTTTGGGATGAAAAACAAGGTTGGAAACCTGCCCCACCTGTAACCCCAGAAGAGGATCATCCTCCTTTCTAAGAACCTCAGCAGCAACATTTGGAGTATTACTTCACAGATGGTGGCGGGCGGGGTTCCTGTTGATTCTTTGAACGCTCATTCATTTTATGTTTTATTTTGGGTAAATTACCTATTTAGTCACTCTATTACTCTTCTTTTTTATCATCTAACTAAAATTTTCATTTAGTCATTAATGTTATGTTTTTATCATGTATTGATCACTGACCATTACAATAATAGTTTAATAAAATTACACATTCTATCAATTTAGTTTTAGTAATGATCAAAATAGAATATGATGACATTAGTAATTAAAATAAAGATTTTAATAGTTCGATGATCGAAACAAAATTCAAATTGTGGTTGAACATCTTTTTTCGTTTTAAACGAAGTAATACATTATATTTTTTAAAAAAAGTCATGTTTTTGCCAGATTTATCCCACCATTTAATTTTTCCCTTTTTCTAGAAAATTTCTTCAAGCTTTGGCAACTGGGAAATGATCACGTGCGACGCCTTATTGTATGGCTAAAAAAAGGTGTTGTCGGTTTTGTTATTGTTTAAATAATAAAACTGATAAAAAATTATCGTAAATATTATTATTTTTACCGATTTTGTTATTATTGGACGCTTTACTGGGTTTGTTAATAAAATCGATAAAACGCTATCGATTTTGTTATTTTTTCTACCGGTTTTGTTATTGTTAGGCACTTACCAGAAATATTAAAAATTTTGATGTTTTAGATAATAATAATAATATTTTAAGTAATTTTTTATCGATTTTATTATTGTTTTCAACAACAAAACTAATAACATTTTTTTAACCGTATATTAAGGGTTACAACCTAATTTTACTTGTCATTCACTCGAGATATATATATATCCCCACTTTCATTTATCAGATTCCAACCAAATACAAATATCAATATCTTAATATAGTGAAATACATAATGATTACAAATAATAATATTTCATTAAAGCCACCATTATTGAGTATTTCCTTCTCCATTATTTTATTAATTTCACAGGCCTAAGAAAAGTTAAATTAGCTTAACAACAAAAACATTTCTTTATTATATTTTATCATTTTCCTCTCTTTTTTCTTTCTCAAATCTCATCTATTCTACAAAAATAATTTACTGGAATTTTTTCAAATAAAAAAGGAAAAGTATAGTATTGATCACTAAACTTTTCTAAAGCTTTAATTTAGGTCCTCAACTTTTAAAACTTGCAATACAATCCCCCAACATTTAGTACGTTTGCAATATGATCCCCCAACATTTAGTACGTTTGTAATATGGCATTGAACTTTTCAGGCACTTGCATTTAGGTCCCCCAACTTTCAAAACTTGCAACACAATCCTCAATTTCATTCTAAACCAAAAATTCCTTTTCAATCTCGAATTTCTTTTTTCGCTTCTCTCTTCTCATTTCCAGCGTAACTTTTCAGTTGGGAATGCTTGAAAAATTCTAATCTAACTTGGAATTACGTGGAGGTGTTGACTTCAATAATGGTTCATTGAGAGAAGAACCGACCAAGAGACTATCGGGGCCATCAACGATTCAATGTGTAATGTTAGATACAGGTCATCTCAGGTGAAGCATAGATGCTCGATGAAATGCTTGTGAGAAAAAATGGGGTTAGAAATGCATAGTTGACAAATACTACTAAGATGAACTAAGTATCATTGTTGAAAGTTACCAACAAAGCTGGAATTATTTTGTATAAATGACATATACTAATTTTTTCGTTTAATCCTTGAGGTTAAAGATTTTCCAACAGATGATCAAATATAATGAAATCCCAAACAACACATTTACCTCTCAGTCTCTTTCGCTCACATGCACTCTCGTTTGGTTTTTGTTCTTCAATTTTCCGTCATGTAAAATTTTAAACCCAAGCAGTGCGATGTCTTTTAGATTCTTATTTACAAAGAAAAAATGGAGGAAGAATTGCTGGAACGCAACACCGATTGCGTTTATTTCTTAGCCTCTCCCCTCACTTGCAAGAAGTTATTTATTTTCTTTTTTGGGGTCTCTGAAAGTAAGATTTTCCTCTTTTACACTTTCCCATTTTCAGCTCGCATTGTGTGTTTTTTGTTGAAATTTTTATGTTTCTGGAACTGCATATCAATGATCTAGATATTCAGTGTTAGTTTTGAACCAAAATTATCTAATTTTCTTTCTTTCTTCTTTATCAAAACTTTTAGTACTCCTTATAAAAGATATTCAATCCATCAACCAATCAGGTGGTTACATGTGCCACCACCTGTGTAAAGGGAAAACATATTAGAATTAGAAGAGAGTTTGTGGGATTCCAACCAAGGATCTTAAGGAGTCCCTAGGCATGCCTTTGCCACTAGGTCAAACTATCTATTTGGTTTAAAATGGCACAAATATTTATATAATGTGTTTGAGGTTATTTCACACACATATATAATTATTAAAATAAATCTAATAAATAAATTATTTTTTATGTATATATATATATATATATATTAAATTATAGTTATGCAAGACTTAAAAAATGAGTTTAATATTTTTATTTTTAAATTGAATTATTTTTATTTTTTTGATTTAAATTCTCTAAATAATGTTAATATATATTATTATTTAAAAATAATTTCAAAAAATAATTTAAATAAAATAATTAAAGTCATATTTTTTATGTGATATAAATTCTCTAAATAATTTTAATATAATTAATATATTATTATTTAAAAATAATTGTAAAAAATAATATAAATAAAAATACTAAACTCATTTTTATTTTTAAGTCTTACATTAACTATAATCTAATTTATATATGAAATATATATGTATGTTTGAAATAACCTCAGACACAATATATAAAAAGTTGTGCAATTTTAAACCAAATAGACAACTCGGCCTAGTAGCAAAGGCATGCCCAGGGACCTTGATTCGAATCCCTCAAGCTCTCTTCTAATTCTAATATGTTTTTAAAAATTAATTAAATTCACCCTTCATTTATAGTGACACGTGACACCCCTGGATTTATTTAATTGAATTAAATAATGACTAAATTGATTGAATATTTAAATATTAAGGACTAAATATATAATTATCTTAATTTTATTGACTGCTATGTCACCACCTCCGTTAAAAATTAATGATCAATGACTTGATTGAATAATTTAAATAATGATTGGTTTGATTGATCGAATCGAAACGTTAGTAGTCAAAATAAAAAAGAGCTATCATATGCCGCAGTATAACTTCCATTTTCATATATAACTTCAAAAAATATCCAATTCCTAATAGAATATTTATTTTAGAATATTTTATATTAAGTTAAATAGTTTGATTTACATGAACTCAAATTTTTATAAATATAATTTGACGATTTCCCCCAATTATTAGATAGATAAATCCTGTGGACCGTGATTCATATACAAAACTGATTATTTTTTTAAAAAATATAATAAAATTATTTAGAAATTTACATTTGTTTATAGGATAAATTACGTGATTAGTACTTAAACTATCAATTTTAATCCGTTTTAGTATATAATATTTTTTTCAAAATCATACATAAATTTAAATTTTTATTTTATTTTAGTACCTACCATTAAAAAATTAACGGACGGACTAACGTGACATAGCTCTAGTTGGCGAACCACCAATCCAAACAATGGACCACGAGTCGACCAATATATTTCAATTTTAGGCCCATCGAACAATGAACCATGAAGATCGAAGGATGAAAAATTGAAGATTCAATAACCAATTTGGCGAAATTGAGATATTTTCTAGTTAAACAAAGGTCACGTTCAAATGATAAAAAAAGGTACGAGAATAAAAAGTTACGTTTGGGCTCATCGACAGAAAAATGCGACAACCGATGAATGTAGGCGTGAAAGACGACAAGTTCATCCATTAAATTTTTAACAAAGGATATTAAAATTAAATAAAAACTAAATGTTAGAAATAATTTTAAAAAATAAAAATTTAAGTACTAAAATAAATCAAAACTAATAATATAAATACTAAACTAGTAGTTTACCCTTGTTTATAATTGAATACAAGGCGATCCGATCCCTAGTAGAAGGTACTAGAAGAAGCGCGTCTGATGATTGATCCATTGCGCATTAGTGTTATTTATTAGTGTGCCCCGGCCGCCGCCGCTGCATTTCATATGTGACTGATAAACAAAATCCCCTAAACGAACCATCTCTCTCTAGAAATTAAAACCCAATGGATCCGGCGAAATTGAGCGAGCTCAAGAAGTTCATCCAGCTTTGCAAATCTAATCCTTCCGTTCTCAATGATCCTACCCTCTCCTTCTTCCGCGATTATCTCGAAAGGTATTTTCAATTTTCAATTCTCAATCTCTCTTTGTTTCAGTCGTTACTAACAAGAAAAATCTCTCACTGTTAGTCTTGGAGCAAAGCTTCCATCATCATCTGACAGCCATGGAGCCAGCGACGCCAAATCGGTAACCGTTCTAACACTAATTAACTCCCGCATTTCTCTCGTTCCTCTTTTTCAAAACTAAAATTACTAATCTAAATGAGGATTTTTGTTTATAGAAGAGTTATGTGGTGGAGGAAAGTGACGAGGAAATGGCGGATGCAGGTGAGAAAATTGATGTAGAAGAAGAGGAGGAAGAAGAGGAGATTATTGAATCAGATATCGAGCTAGAAGGTGAAACGGTTGAGCCTGATAATGATATTCCGCAGAAGGTATTATCCTATCTAACACTTTATTTCTGGTTTAATTTATTTTAGTTATTTTTCATTCTGTTGTTTTTTGGTGTTTGCAGATGGGTGATCCTTCTGTGGATGTTACCGATGAAAACCGGGATGCTTCGCAATCTGCTAAGGCCAAAGCTATGGAGGCAATTTCTGAAGGCAAATAAATCAGAACTTAATATTTATTTGTTTATTTATTGAATTTGTATTTTTCTGAATCATTGTAATGCAGGGAAGTTAGAGGAAGCTATTGAGCATCTGACACAGGCGATTTTGCTGAACCCAACATCGGCTATCATGTATGGAACACGAGGTTAGCGTTTGTTATTTAGCCTGTTATATGCTCCCTCTCAATTTGTATTTGTTATTTAGCTAGTCAGATGCTCTGTTTCGTTTAGTTTTTTACTTAGATTCTTACATTTGTTAGAATGATTCAGCTGCTTGGTGTTTTTTTCTCCTTTCAGCCAGTGTTTACATTAAGATGAGAAAGCCAAATGCTGCTATTCGAGATGCCAATGCCGCTTTGGAGGTTTGTATACGCATTGATGTTTGACTTATGAATTCAGTTTTTTCCCTGCTTGTATGATAAATTGCTTCATAGAAATTGTATATCTTTTGTAGTAGGTGTCTTGCATTATTTTGGTTATTCAAAAACTATATGTAATGGTTCATGCCGAACAATGTTTTCTGTATTTGTTTCCTTGTGTTTTACGGTTATATCAGAAATGGCAAGGCCATATTTGAGAAGGATATTATTTTAATTTTCCTCATTCATGTCTTGCAGATTAACCCAGATTCTGCTAAGGGTTACAAGTCTCGTGGCATTGCACGAGCAATACTCGGGCAATGGGAAGATGCTGCAAAGGATCTGCACATGGCATCAAAGTTGGATTATGATGACGAAATAAACAGTGTGCTTAAGAAGGTCTGCTTTTATCTGTCCTTTTTCATTCTTCCCTTCGGAATTTTCAGTCCATGCGTCTTGTCATGTGATTTAGTACATCTGTAGTATTATTGTAAATTTATCAGATTATTCCTATTTCCCTGCGAAGTGAATGTCTGTAAATAGGATTGCACTAGTTTACCCATCTCATCAGAGCTCTATAAAATAGGCTTGCACTAGTTAACCTATCTTATCTAAGTTCTATTGCTTTCCTTTATATTTCTAATTGAGTGATTTGATCGAAATCTGAAACATTAGGAACAAGCTTTTCCCCAAGTTAGCATAAAATAGTAGTGTAATTCTCTGCCACCAATGTTGGAAATTTTTGCTGTACCTTCTTCACTAAATATGAGAGACAGGACCCCTGTTGTTGTGATTCCTACTTACAGCTGACATTGGCTCATTGATTAAACAGGTTGAACCCAATGCACATCGCATCGAGGAACACCGTCGAAAATATGATAGATTGCGCATAGAGAGAGAAGAGAGAAAGATTGAGTGTGAGAGGCGTAGTCGTCGTGCTCAAGCTCAGGTAATTTAATGGTTATTTATTCTCTGATAATATTGGGTTCTCCTTATCTTCTTTGACTCTGCTTACATTCTATATTATGCTCAAGGCTGAATATGAGAAGGCGAAGAAGCAGGAGCAATCATCCTCCAGCAGGAAACCTGGAGGCATGCCTGGTGGGTTCCCGGGTGGAATGCCTGGAGGTTTTCCTGGTGGAATGCCTGGAGGTTTTTCTGGTGGGATGCCTGGAGGTTTTCCCGGAGGTATGCCCGGAGGTATGCCTGGAGGTATGCCTGGAGTCATGCCCGGAGGTATGCCTGGAGGCATGCCCAGTGGGATGCCTGGAAATGTTGATTTTAGCAAAATATTGAATGTAAGTGTTAATGTTCTATGGAACTTTCATTTTACTTTTATAGCAATCAACTCTGTCATGCTTGTATATGCTATTGCGATTCATATTTTCTTCACATTATTTTTGGTTGCGATGATAAGAATATATTTTACGCACTAATATTTTCTTGCTAAACCTTTGGAGAAGGTAAATTGTTATTATAGTTTTTTATGTGGTTTCTGATCATATTGTCTTCAGGATCCTGAAATGATGGCAGCATTTAGTGATCCAGAAGTCATGGCTGCTCTTCAAGATGGTAAGCATTTTACAATGTTTACTAATTTTATACATGCAGTCATTGCATCATTCCTTTCCTCTCTTACATTTGCAATTTATGGAGTATTCTTTCATTTTTCATTCGGTTTGACTTAGGACTATGCTTGCCAAGAAAACTTGGGAACATGTTTATATTTAAGCTGATCTTAGTTTTCTATACTAGGTAGGTAGTGTTTAGCAGATACACTATTCTATCAGGATACAGAGCATAATGGGTATCTTATAGGGAACTCCAAATAGTTTGGCTGAGGCTTTATTGAGATTATCACAGGTTTTGTGTGCCGAAGTATAATTATGTCCGACTTTACATGCACTTTATATATTTTTTGGTGTTGGATATCTTGATTAGTCAATCTAAAATTGATAAGGGAAAATTTGTTGTGGCTTAGTAACTAATTTGTCGCTACTGCAGCTTTGTCCTGATTGTTTCAGTTTATGCATGTTCTTAAATGCCTTTGGTAATTTGCAAGTTTCCTTTTATTGCCATAAAGCCAGCCAGCCTTCAGGCATGGATGGTCCACGATCTTGGTTGCTTGTATCAAATGATTAGATGGTAACTAAAGTAAATTGTCACACTGTTATCTTTTCGGTGACATCTTTTTGCTGATCTGTATGCTTAAACCGACTTTGTGTCAGCAGTGTTGGATAGATATTCACTGCATGATTTCTGTTCATTCAAATGTGACATTCCTGGGTTAATCCACCTGTTCTGTTCACTCTTTTAGTTAAACCATTTGGGTTGTTTAAGCATGCAATGCACAATAGAGTTTGGGAACCGAAATGTATTTTCTCGGGCAATTCTATGGTTCTCAATACAGCAGAATTTCGTACATGGAATGCATGTGACAGTTTTATTGAGGTTGTTTTGAATGGCTTTGCAGTGATGAAGAATCCTGCTAATCTAGCAAAGCATCAAGCAAATCCCAAGGTGGCTCCTATAATTGCTAAGATGATGAACAAATTTGCAGGACCCAAGTAAGATGGATTTCCAAATTGTCTGGGGAATATTCATGTTGTGTTCGTCTCTGAAGGAAACTATGCTCCGTAAAAAATGTTAGTGAATCTGTTCGCATGGTGGTTGTGTTGGTAATTTGTTTTATAGGTTGTAGGATTTTGTACTTTTGGTTTCTTAAATAAGAAAAGAGAAAAAATCCCCCATCGCTTTAGAAAAACCAAGTAGCGAGGTTCGTTTTTCCCTTCGTTATACATGCGAATGTTTTCAGTCTTGCATTGGCTTTGGTTCAACCTGGCTGCTATTATGTTGGAATAGACTTCAAATACATGGGGCTTAAAGGTAAAGTTTAACCTAAAATGGGTTATTTGTGAAATTTATACTTGATATTTTTTCTCAAATTGTTGCCTATATTCTTAAATTTATATTTGAATTTAGAAAAAAAAAATTCAAATGATACATAATGATAATGTGTAGTTCAACCACGAATTAGGTTGTAACATATCGTACATGTCATTTAGTGATTTTAAGGCTGTAAATGGAGTTATGAGTTTGTTTTGGTTAATTATCGATCAACAGCGTTTGGCTTTGGTGTATTTGATTCTAGTAACGAATTATTTGACATTCGATATGAATTTATATTCGAATTGAAAAAATTATGAGTAATATATATATATATATATATATTATATTTTTAGTTTTTAATTAAATTAATAATAATAATAATAATATATTCATGATTTAAGTTTCATGTAATTAAGTTTGAAAATTTTTCGAGTTAAAAATATAATATGAAATTTTTATGTATTAAGGTCGAGTTTGATTTTTTTTTTTTTTAACTGTCCGTCTGGATTGATCAGGAGCCTCGAATATCCAGAGGTCACTTGCACCCTTCGCAACATATTATGACTGGACTTTACACCATTGTAGAGTAAAACAAAAATCTTTGAGCAACTTAATATTTTAGGAGCGATCCAGTCCAGACCAGTTTCTGGTTATTGTTTCAATCTATATTTGATTCACATATCTCATCACATGAAACTGAAAAGGTCTACACAAATCTTTTGAGGCATACTATTGAGAGTAAAAGGACTATATCATTTCCTTAGTTATGGAGACAAGTGTTGTACCTGTTCCTCAAAAGATCTCATGCCACATTAGGTTGTATTCTCTCTCGGACTCTCTCTCTCTCTATATATATTTTTTCAACTTTTCTTTCTTGACGATTGATTATTTTCATCATCGACTCTTCTCTCTTTCTTTTATGTGTACCAATTAACTACATTTCTTCATTTAAACGGAAAGAGATGAACCGTCAAAAACTAAACTTTTTACCATCAACACAACCTCTCTTACGGTGGAATTCAATAGAAAATATCCAAGTTTTCAGTTTTTAACTTCAAAATAAAAGTCTAGAAAATTTCAATTATGCTGTCTCTCTGTTCAATTACATTATTCATTCATTGGTAAAGTAAAACAAGCCAAAAGGCGGCTAGTCTGAATTGGAATACTTGTTAAAAAGGTGCAATAATTTACGGCTCTTGACTTGCTCACATATCACATCATTTATTAGGGCAGAGAAGAGAATAAAGGAAAATGATCCACCGTCAATGAATCCTTCGTTCCTTCGTTACAGCATGTGGATGAGCTTATAATTCTGGAGGGTAAATTTATAAATATTTAAAAGACGAAAATAAATTATTAATAAAAATATAAAAATATTTTAATTATATAAAAAATTTCACTATAAAACCAAATTTCATTGGCTGCAGGAGCAAGTCACAATACAAAAGGAAAAATATAGCAAGGCAAGGATTCTCTTCAAACCATTTTCAAAATTTGCCCTACCAAACTCTTTATTATTTGGTACGCACATGGTTCATTGGACCGTCAAATGTGTCTTGTAACACAAAAGAGAAAACATTAGATCAAGCAAGAAATTCTATCTTTGGAATGCCTTGTCATTACACCACTATTTCGGAGGACTTTCAATTCCAACTATCAATTTATCCTATTCACCAAATTCCCTTCCTATTTTCTGTAAAGTTGAGCTGATATTTTTGTACAATTTCAAGTGTTTTCATTAATTTAATCATATTGTTTTTAGTCAAAATTTAACTACTATTTTTCCTTTTAATAAAATTTTCACAATTTCAATAAAAATAATGATTAGGAAGAACATTTTTCACAGTAGTAGTTAGACCTGTAAAGGAATTTAAGTTCAGCGATAAGTTCGTTTATCTATTAAAAGAATGAACATGAATAATATTTTAGGTTCGTTTAATTAAATGAACGAACATAAATAAAAGGGCTCGTTTGTTCACTTACGTTCGTGAACGTTCGGTAATTTGTTAGTTTATGTTTATTTATGTTCGTTCGTTTATATTCAGTACAATCTCTAGACCGGTTTAAAATGTTACGACATAATAAATTTTATCTTTAAACCCATTAATATTTTAAAATCCAATTAATTTTAAACTCAAATAAAAAATATCCAAATCAATTAAAGAAAATATACACCCTAAATTTATTTGGAAAGAAAAACTCTTCTCAAACATAAACCCAATTAATTTTATGTTCGTTCGTTTATGTTTGTTTACGTTTGTTTATGTACGTTCGTTTATGATTTTAACGAATGAATATAAACGGACACTAACAAGCTACATTCCTTAATGAATGAACACGAACAATATATTCCGCTCGTTTAGTTCTTCGTATTCGTTCATCTGTCTGGATAAAGTTAAACAAACGACTCTAGTTCGTCAGTTTGTTTACAAGCCTATTAGAAGTATCCAACTACATGACAATTTTATGTATTTTATTATTAATATGATACTATTCTACCTTACATATTACATATATTTAAAGTTATATTTTTAAAATTAATTTATCATGAAATAATTCAAAATGAAGAAATCCATCACATTAACAAAATAGTAGTGTTACATCAATAATGAGGTATATGTTGATTTTTGTATGGCTGCAACACTAACGTCGCGGAAATTTAACAGTTTATGCAAAACTTTCATTAAAATTATATTGAAATAGTTTAGGATTAGGTTTTTCAACCTTATAGTTTTTCGTTTCTTATGTAGCCGTTAATTTTTTTTCTTTATCTTTAAGATTAATAATAACATCAATTTTAATATTAATCAACTATCGTCGATATTCATTATTTTTCTTGTTATGTTGTATCTTTATTTTTTTTATTTTATGCTTTTATGACAGAGTAAACTTGTTATTTATTTTTAAATTTAATAATGACAATTATTATTATTATTATTATTATTATTATTATTATTATTATTATTGTCTTTATCATTCTGATCATATTAACGATTTCTCTAACAATCTTAATACAAATTTGATATTTTTTAATTCGAGATGAACAAATCCAATTTGTCTATATACGTCTAGATTGTTGATGCGACTGCTAACTTGCATAGTTTATAAAGTTTATCGCAGACTATAATTTAGTGCGTAAGTTGTGACCTTAATCATGATAAGGTGTAGACGAAGCTACACCTTCAGTGAATTCGATATAGGATTTTAAAGGTTTATTTTCTTTCAAATGTTTAATTTAGGAACATTTATAAAAGTTGAAACACATGCTTTATATGCATTTATTTTATGCCTTTGATATTTTTAAAAACATCCTTTGTGGGGGTGTATATTGAATCCTGATGGTTCAAGTTTTGACAGTGATGAAGTCAATTAGACATGTGAAATTTTTGTTATTTTATTTTAATCTAAGACAATTTGGAAATCTTTCTTCTACCTTTGTTTTGATATGAGGTAATTTAGAAATCGAGGTGACAAATAAATATGTATTTAAGATTTATCTTGTTGTTTCAACGGGTTTGCTTAATTTTAAAATGGACAAATATGTTTAATAGAAAGTGTCATTAAAATAACATTGGTTACTGATATTATTTTACAATTTTGATCTGTTCGGTAACAAAAATCAGTTGGGATTTTAACATAATTTATTGGATTACTACTTATAATTGAAATCGTTTGAAAATAGAAGCTTTGTTACTGATTTGTTTCAAAATTTTAGTTTCTAACTAAAATTTGTTGATAGAATAAACCATAATTTATTTTCAATTTATCATTGAAATTATTATTAATTCTAATTTCGTGTCTTAAACAAAAAATGAATAATCCCATAACTTCAGCAAACTCACAATCTGGAGTATTGGTTCTATTTACGCTTTGAATTAAAACTCAACAGTGTTGATGGTCGTAAGCCACAAAAAGAAACTTGTAAAATTCTGTAGATAAAATTTCAAGATATGACAATAGAAGATGTTGTTCTATTTGATCATGTTAAATTTGATTAAATATTAGATGATCCTCTTATTATTAGATAGGATGAGATAAACGTTGTTACCGTATTTTCTATTGTTAAAGCTTGAGAATATTTTGACTTCCTAAGCTGTAACTACATCGTGAATGGATTGTCAAATATACTATATAAAGTGTATAATATCCATAAGATGGACAAAGAATTATGGATAACATTTAACCATAAATACGAAATTGAATATGCTAGCACTAAAGAAAATTTTGTGACTAAGTTCTTAAAATTCATAATGGCAACACAAAAAAGGGGAGATAAAGTACTAATATGTGTATTTTCTTAAGAGTAAAGTGTTGGAAAAAAATTGATAATTTTGGAGTTTTGAATGAGAAATTGGTCCAGACGTTGTTGAGGAAAATGTGGAACCAATTGTTGATTTGTACATGTACAGATGTGCACGATGTGAGTAACGCTAATGCTCGAACCGGTCGTCAGGCTCTTTGTGGACTTGCAAATATTTTAACCCAAATGTGAAATATTTTTCCTCACATAAAGCATATATTTTCAAAATTTGTTATGGAATTAAAAGAATAAAAATTAAAAGGTTCCTTTAATCAAAACAATAATTTTGAAAATTGTTTGATTCTCATTAATGCTTCATTGAGTAAATTTTTTTCAATTGTTCACAATGTGAAATCCCTAAAAATACTGTGTAAACCTACTAAGTTAAACACAATTAAAAACACTCAAAAACAACTCAAAAGAATTCTTGTCTTCTATAGTTTTTTCGGTGATAGACGAATGCAAAGAATAGTTCGTGATCTCAAAAATTGTGCTACTGTGCACTGATCATCTCGTTGTTGTATCCTAAGAGACAGACGACCAAAGACCTCAAGCACTAAGGAGTGGTCAAAAATTAGTCTTAAGAAAACTGCGTAGTTGCAGGCCTCAACTCATTCTCGTTTATTTTATACTCTTTTCCATTATTTGATAGAATAATTTTTCCAT